CACATGTCATACATCATTAATATTAACCCGCATATCTGACAACCATCAGTAGTCATAATATGCAACTGATGCCACAATCATCCGGATTGCATCAACACCTGCATAGGATTGTATCCATTAAATAAGGAACGTTGGGTCAACGATGGCCCAACGTTGCAAATTTACTTGGTTTTGAGCACATGTTGTGGTAGGTTTAAGTACAGTTACAAGGCAGATTTTTAAGTGATTAACTTCATTAATGAACTGAAGAGTTATATGAATGAACGGAACTCCATGAATGAACCACTGTACAGTACTTTATTTGTTCTCAATAACATTTACTACAGAGGTAGTTGTGCTCGCTTCTCAATCTATCTTCTCTGAGGCAACATTTTAGATACGTCATGTTTTCCCAAGATATGTTCAAACTAATGTATTGCATCGTGGACTGCATGTTGATCATTCAGCAAAGTTATATTGCAGGATGACGGCAAATACATTAAGTGCCCCATTATTTAAAAAGCTATTTATACTTATTTACATAATTGTCATATACGCAATAAATTACGTTCTTTCAGCAACGCGCATTTTTATTACGAGCATTACAAATGTGTTATGTATTTGTATTATATTATACAGGAGCGTACTCTGCTCTATAATGCTTGTGGATTACAGTATAGCTTGTCAGTTTCAATGGTAACCAGGATAGCTAACGTGTATGATCGTAAATAATTATCTCAAGAGTCATGCTTAAGGGCAAAATTGTAATGTGAGGCTAAACAAAAAAATGACAGTACACAAGACAACACAACAGAGGTACAAAATGAAGAAATTAAAGACATTTTACTTGGTTAAAACTCCAAACCAAAGATTATGCAAATTCTAATCACATTCGTTAATGACACTGCCTTCCGAACATCCTCAGGAAAATGTAATAGGTCCAATTTTTTTTAATTGTTCATCTATAACACGAGCGTTTAAACGTACTTTTGACACGGGCGAACTGAGCTCGATTACCGGCCATGATTAACATACATAAGTGGATTGGTAAAATCCTGTAAATTATTAAAAAAATGTCAAAAGAAAATAGTTATCATCAGTCTGAAATGGGCTTTAGTATTTACACTGTATTCCTGTCCATTTACATAATAGAAACATGTAGTTAGTATAAACTTTGCAAAATGTACATATCTACAAAGTATTAAGGTCCACCCTATTGTTTTGTACTGATGATGTGAATGGTATCACAGTGCCCTTGTCCAATCATCAGAAACTCTTCTGCGTTGCGTCATATTCAGAATAAATTTTCTTTTGGCATCCAGTTTGGACTGAACATTTCATAATCACATGTCATACATCATTAATATTAACCCGCATATCTGACAACCATCAGTAGTCATAATATGCAACTGATGCCACAATCCTCCGGATTGCATCAACACCTGCATAGGATTGTAGCCATTAATTTAGGAACGTTGGGTCAACGATGGCCCAACGTTGCAAATTTACTTGGTTTTGAGCACATGTTGTGGTAGGTTTAAGTACAGTTACAAGGCAGATTTTTAAGTGATTAACTTCATTAATGAACTGAAGAGTTATATGAATGAACGGAACTCCATGAATGAACCACTGTACAGTACTTTATTTGTTCTCAATAACATTTACTACAGAGGTAGTTGTGCTCGCTTCTCAATCTATCTTCTCTGAGGCAACATTTTAGATACGTCATGTTTTCCCAAGATATGTTCAAACTAATGTATTGCATCGTGGACTGCATGTTGATCATTCAGCAAAGTTATATTGCAGGATGACGGCAAATACATTAAGTGCCCCATTATTTAAAAAGCTATTTATACTTATGTAGTAAGTATATATGGAGGCTTGACGACAGGATCGGAGGCACACTTATTTATTACACCAACACAGTTATTACAGGTCACTTGGCTACAGGGATTTCTCGACAGCTAACCCCTCTAGCCTATACCAACTCCTCCACTACGGGACTAGGGGAGGCTATCTGTCCCAGCTTGGTTAAGCTGGGATCCCGGCTCCCTGAGTCACCAGACCAGCTTCGTCTGGGCTCTCGGGGCCACGCCACCGGCTTGCCCTGGTCGGCCCTTAGAAGGACAGCGAGCCAGGGGAGCTCCGGGGCCTATACTAGCAGGTCTTCGTTCTTCTCTGGTTAAAGCTGAGTCCCGACTCCCGAGCCTTTCGGCTCATCACCTTTTATAGGACTTGCCCCCAAGGGGGGGCCCGTGGGGGATACACATGCGGACGTCGGTGCGAGCGCCACCCTTGTGTACGGCCGTAACCCCGCCCCTTGTGTTTGTTGGCCATCCGTGGCCATGCATAATCACACCTCAATATTCGTAGCCATGCGCAATTACACCTCTACATCACCCCCCCCTGTACAGCTCGCAGCCGTCCCCGGCTGCAAAAAAAAAAATCAGAATAAAGGTGCATCCCTCACGAAAACCCCGTGTGTGTGTGCCTCGCGTAATTTTTTTTAACAAGAACAAGAAAACCCCAACAGGAACAACAAGAGGAAGAGAGAGAGAGAGAAAAAAAATAACCCGACGCACCCTCCCCGGATAAATACCCCAAAACCAACATATATATACGCTCCGGACGCCACCTTTCCCATTGTCCGCAAGGCCCCCCAACGGCCGACCTCACAACACCCCTTCCCTTTTGTCCGCAAGGCCCCCCAACGGCCGACCTCACAAAAGTCTGCGTGTTTTGGCGCGCGTTCTCGCGGCGGGCCCGTCACAAGGGCCCGTCCCGGCACGCTCAGTGACGGTTGTAGACGGTCCGGGTGCAAGAGGGTCAGGCGTCGCTGCCGAGTGACCCCCGACCCCTCCGGGAGGGGTTGGTGGGCGTGGGCCCGTCACTCCTGTTTCACCTGGGGACGGAACAGTTGGCGTCAGGTTAGGCGAGTGCAGCGACGACGGGGAGTCGGCGACACCCTCACACGTTTGGCCATGCGTGTGTGTGTGTGAACCACGGGGCGGCGTGACGAATGGTTTTAACCTTGAGGGGTGCACATACCACCGGCGCCTCCCCCATTTGACGCGAACACATTGCGGCCGCAAAACCTGCACGACCTCCACTGGCCCCCGCCACGGCCGTACCAATTTTGACGAGGTTGCCAGCGGCACCTGAGGACAGTGCAACCACGCCCTGTCCCCTGGTTTCCATTTGACCACCTGCACCCGCCCCAACCGAAGCCTCTCGTTCGCCTTCTGGCGGAGTTCGGAATTTTGCACGGCCGCTTCCCGCGCCTCAGACAATTTAGCGATGTTAAATTTAACGTGTTCGGACAAGTTAGACTTCGCCTGGGGCGCCGAGAGCTTCAGCTGGGTCGCCACAGGGGGGTGAACTTCGCGCCCATACATTAAAAAGAAAGGGGAAAATCCGGTGGCCGCATGGGGAGCCATTCTGTAGGCCTGCAACACACCGGCTATACGGGGGTCCCAATCCGTCTGGGATATCGACACCTGCTGGGACAGCATGGACGTGATGGTCCGATGCAGCCGTTCCACCATCCCGTCAGTTTGTGGCGTACTGTGCTCTATAATGCTTGTGGATTACAGTATAGCTTGTCAGTTTCAATGGTAACCAGGATAGCTAACGTGTATGATCTTAAATAATTATCTCAAGAGTCATGCTTAAGGGCAAAATTGTAATGTGAGGCTAAACAAAAAATTACAGTACACAAGACAACACAACAGAGGTACAAAATGGAGAAATGAAAGACATTTTACTTGGTTAAAACTCCAAACCAAAGATTATGCAAATTCTAATCACATTCGTTAATGACACTGCCTTCCGAACATCCTCAGGAAAATGTAATAGGTCCAATTTTTTTTAATTGTTCATCTATTACACGAGCGTTTAAACGTACTTTTGACACGGGCGAACTGAGCTCGATTACCGGCCATGATTAACATACATAAGTGGATTGGTAAAATCCTGTAAATTATTTAAAAAATGTCAACAGAAAATAGTTATCATCAGTCTGAAATGGGCTTTAGTATTTACACTGTATTCCTGTCCATCATTTACATAATAGAAACATGTAGTTAGTATAAACTTTGCAAAATGTACATATCTACAAAGTATTAAGGTCCACCCTATTGTTTTGTACTGATGATGTGAATGGTATCACAGTGCCCTTGTCCAATCATCAGAAACTCTTCTGCGTTGCGTCATATTCACAATAAATTTTCTTTTGGCATCCAGTTTGGACTGAACATTTCATAATCACATGTCATACATCATTAATATTAACCCGCATATCTGACAACCATCAGTAGTCATAATATGCAACTGATGCCACAATCCTCCGGATTGCATCAACACCTGCATAGGATTGTAGCCATTAATTTAGGAACGTTGGGTCAACGATGGCCCAACGTTGCAAATTTACTTGGTTTTGAGCACATGTTGTGGTAGGTTTAAGTACAGTTACAAGGCAGATTTTAAGTGATTAACTTCATTAATGAACTGAAGAGTTGTATGAATGAACGGAACTCCATGAATGAACCACTGTACAGTACTTTATTTGTTCTCAATAACATTTACTACAGAGGTAGTTGTGCTCGCTTCTCAATCTATCTTCTCTGAGGCAACATTTTAGATACGTCATGTTTTCCCAAGATATGTTCGAACTAATGTATTGCATCGTGGACTGCATGTTGATCATTCAGCAAAGTTATATTGCAGGATGACGGCAAATACATTAAGTTCCCCATTATTTAAAAAGCTATTTATACTTATTTACATTATTGTCATATACGCAATAAATTACGTTCTTTCAGCAACGCGCATTTTTATTACGAGCATCACAAATGTTTTATGTATTTGTATTATATTATACAGGAGCGTACTGTGCTGTATAATGCTTGTGGATTACAGTATAGCTTGTCAGTTTCAATGGTAACCAGGATAGCTAACGTGTATTATAGTAATTAATTATCTCAAGAGTCATGCTTAAGGGCAAAATTGTAATGGGAGGCTATACCCTCACATTACAATTCATCTGAGTTTACCAGTCTGTTCAACAGCGCAACAGTTGAAGTGTAGTCTCCAACTTAGCAACTCGGCATCTACATCAACACCAGCCAGCCACAGCCATGGACGCCGAGGAGTACAAAGTTCGAGGTAAGTTGATGTCTCTAAATAAGCGTGGCACTAATTAGCCAAACTTAAGTTGTGGTATTTCCCAAACGTGTAACAAGTTGCTTGGGTTTTTTCTCTCCATGCTTCGATGTCCTCTATAACAGTTTGGAATCTATCGAGACCAAAAGTGTAATTTCTAAGGGCAAAACAATGGCAGTACAGCATTAAAGAAAAAAAGCATTTAAGGTACAACACGGGCATTACAGTATTGTCAAGTTTACAATACGTATTTGATTTACATGGAAGTTGATGTAGTATTTTATGGTGATTCTTGTACATGGGTATACAGTACTTTTAACGATTTTTAGTGGTTGGAAATGATGCATAAAATATGCTTGGACTTATGGGTGCATACAAGATGTAATTGTTAACCTATCCTGTAAAGTAAGGTTTACATCCACAACTTGGAAAGAGTCTATAATCACATCAGGGTTAACATTTGGAACGAGAGAAATGGGAAAGCATGAATGAATACGGGCACACGGGTAAGAATTTTAAAATAATCACTGTTGCAATTGTATGTATGTTTGAACTTCTTTAGCACTACACGTGCTAATCGGAGATGCGAATTTACAGTGGCAATTCAGTACACTATTGTACATTTTATAAATTGACATTGTAAAAAAAATTACAGTACACAAGACAACACAACAGAGGTACAAAATGAAGAAATGAAAGACATTTTACTTGGTTAAAACTCGAAACCAAAGATTATGCAAATTCTAATCACATTCGTTAATGACACTGCCTTCCGAACATCCTCAGGAAAATGTAATAGGTCAAAAATTTTTTTAATTGTTCATCTATAACACGAGCGTGTAAACGTGCTTTTGACACGGGCGAACCGAGCTCGATTACCGGCCATTATAAACATACATAAGTAGATTGGTAAAATCCTGTAAATTATGAAAAAAATGTCAACAGAAAATAGTCATCATCAGTCTGAAATCGGCTTTAGTATTTATACTGTATTCCTGTCCATCATTTATATAATAGAAACATGTAGTTAGTATAAACCTTGCAAAATGTACATATCTACCAAGCATTAAGGTCCACCCTATTGTTTTGTACTGATGATGTGAATGGTATCGCAGTGCCCTTGTCCAATCATCAGAAGCTCTTCTGCGTTGCGTCATATTCAGAATTAAATGTTATTTTGGCATCCAGTTTGAACTGAACATTTCATAATCACATGTCATACATCATTAATATTAACCCGCATATCTGACAACCATCAGTCGTCATAATGTGCAACTGATGCCACAATCATCCAGATTGCATCAACACCTGCATATGATTGTAGCCATTAAATAAGGAACGTTGGGTCAACGATGGCCCAACGTTGCAAATTTACTGGGTTTTGAGCACATGTTGAGGTAGGTGTAAGTACAGTTACAAGACAGATTTTTAAGTGATTAACTTCATCTTCTTGGTTATTTCGGTAAAGTCACGTAGAAGGGAAGTAACAAAATAATAAAAAATTCAAACATAATAAAATAATTCTCACGACGTTTCGGCCACAACGCAAGCAGCCGTCCTCAGGTGAAAACCAGGTCTGTCGGGGAGACAGCGTCTGAATGAAACAGCACACGAGCTTGGAGCATATATATAAGCTGATGCTGCTAGTCCTGCATAATGCACGGGCATATGTAGTACTAATCACATTCCTGCATTTCCAATATGTATGCTAAATTCCTCTTGATATACAAATTATTTTGTCGAAGCGCCCTTTCCCCCCTTTCCAACCCAGCTTATATATATGCTCCAAGCTCGTGTGCTGTTTCATTCAGACGCTGTGTCCCCGACAGACCTGGTTTTCACCAGAGGACGGCTGCTTGCGTTGTGGCCGAAACGTCGTGAGAATTATTTTATTATGTTTTATTTTTATTATTTTATTACTTCCCTTCTACGTGACTTTACCGAAAGAACCAAGAAGATGAATCCCTGCAGTCACGAAAGCTTTAAATCGAAATGATTAACTTCATTAATGAACTGAAGAGTTATATGAATGAACGGAACTCCATGAATGAACCACTGTACAGTACTTTATTTGTTCTCAATAACATTTACTACAGAGGTAGTTGTGCTCGCTTCTCAATCTATCTTCTCTGAGGCAACATTTTAGATACGTCATGTTTTACCGAGATATGTTCGAACTAATGTATTGCATCGTGGACTGCATGTTGATCGTTCAGCAAAGTTATATTGCAGGATGACGCCAAATACATTAAGTGCCCCATTATTTAAAAAGCTATTTATACTTATTTACATTATTGTCATATACGCAATAAATTACGTTCTTTCAGCAACGCGCATTTTTATTACGAGCATTACAAATGTGTTATGTATTTATATTATATTATACAGGAGCGTACTGTGCTGTATAATGCTTGTGGATTACAGTATAGCTTGTCAGTTTCAATGGTAACCAGGATAGCTAACGTGTATGATCGTAAATAATTATCTCAAGAGTCATGCTTGAGGGCAAAATTGTAATGTGAGGCTAAACAAACAAATTACAGTACACAAGACAACACAACAGAGGTACAAAATGAAGAAATGAAAGACATTTTACTTGGTTAAAACTCCAAACCAAAGATTATGCAAATTTTAATCACATTCGTTAATGACACTGCCTTCCGAACATCCTCAGGAAAATGTAATAGGTCCAAATTTTCTTGAATTGTTCATCTATAACACGAGCGTTTAAACGTACTTTTGACACGGGTGAAATGATCTCGATTACCGGCCATGATTAACATACATAAGTAGATTGGTAAAATCCTGTAAATTATGAAAAAAATGTCAACAGAAAATAGTTATCAGTTCTAGATTTGAAGCTTTCGTGACTGCAAGGATTCATATTCTTAGGTTTTTTCGGTAAAGTCACGTAGGTAAAACATCAAAATTAATTAAAATAAAATAAAGATCACGACGTTTCGGAGGCAACACAAGTCTCCGTCACCAGGTGGGACCGTCACAGCCAGATTAGCTGCATCAAGTGAGGCAATGATTCAAGATGTCATCCCTTAAAAGCGAGCTGAGGGGGGAGGAGAGGGGGGGGGGCTCATCAGAATGTGGTAGCCAATGAATGGAACGTATCGGGAGGGAGGGGGGGCGGGGCCAAAAGAGTGGGCGACGGCGTGGAAGCGATTGTGCGCATGCGACTAACTGCTGCACAGGCCAACGCATTGGACAGAGAGGGGGGAGGAGGAGGCCTGATACACATGATAGAAAAGAACGAAAATGCCCATGTTTATACCAATGCTGGCTGAACAATGAAGAGATTATTGTTATACACTGGGGATGTTAACACTCGGTAAAGTAAAGTAAAATAGTGCCTGTCAGATAAGATGGTCCAAAAAAGTGTAATTAAGTCTTTTTTGCGTGGTTAATAACATCTTTCCAATGATTACTAAGTTTGTACCCATCATCACGGTTGAAATTATGTCTGTGTTTGTATATTTGTATGGCTTCGTGTACAAACCTTTGATGGTAGCCAGGAGGTTTTAGTATTTATACTGTATTCCTGTCCATCATTTACATGTTGCATCAACACCTGCATAGGATTGTAGCCATTAAATAAGGAACGTTGGGTCAACGATGGCCCAACGTTGCAAATTTACTTGGTTTTGAGCACATGTTGTGGTAGGTTTAAGTACAGTTCCAAGGCAGATTTTTAAGTGATTAACTTCATTAATGAACTGAAGAGTTATATGAATGAACGGAACTCCATGAATGAACCACTGTACAGTACTTTATTTGTTCTCAATAACATTTACTACAGAGGTGTGCTCGCTGTTGTATATGCCGGATTATGAATTTTTGATAAAAACATTTATGTTAATTTATGTAATTAGATGCATAAATTATAATCACGAATATAATCGTATTAATTTATGCGAACGCTTGCTATTATGTTCATGTGCACAGTTATGATAACTACGCTTAGTTTCGTTATCCAGAGTTGTATCAATCGGGATAACCGATTATCTTTAATTAAACATTTATTGATTATCTTAGTGTGTTTATGTCATGCTATGTTAGGTCTCCAAATTCATATCTCATCGCAGGTTACAGTTCTTATGAATAAGACAGTTTTGCATGGACTGGGAAAGAAGCATTCGAACACTTGGTGTTAAGCAATTTTAATTCTAAACAAACATATGACACTCTAATATGCAAAGGCAAAAGTATACGTCAATAGATTCCTCGGCAAAGTTATGCAATTAACGAAAATGAATGACTCAAACATTTCTTATTAATGTAACTCGACGGCAGCAACTGCTTTGCACGATCAGTTGATATTGAACGCACCACCTTGAAATGGCAACCCTTTTGAAACACAAAGATAACTTTTTGAAAGTCTTATTCGTGTGCGTGTTGTGTGTGCGTTGTCCCCTTGTAAAATTAATATTTTAAGCAGAGGCAGGGCGCTGTGTCGGAGGTTGTGGGGTGGGGGAGGGGTTATACCAACAAGGGCCAGAGAGGTTCTCTCTGGCTTGGGCGTGGCCGCAGCGAGCCCGTCTTGCTTTCTCTCTCCACTGCTGGAATGAGCAGCGTTGGCATGACGCTCGCTGTCGTGGCGCGCGATGATTCCGTCGTCGAATAGTGCCGTTCCTCCGCTGCTAGATGACGAGTCGGCACGAAGCTCGGTGACGCCCGGGTGTGCTGCTCGTGCGCTCTCTCCACCGCTTGATAAGTGGCGTCGGCACGACGCTCACCGTCGTGGTGCGCGATGATTCCGTCGTCGGATAGCGCGTAGTTCCTCCACCGCTGGATGACGAGTCGGCACGACGCTCGCCGTCGTGGTGCGCGATGATTCCGTCGTCGATGCTGGACGTCTTGTCTGTTCTCACTGGGTGTTGGTCGGTGTATGTGTGTATCAAACACACGGCGCATTCGATGGGGCTCTCTCTCTCTCTTGGTGGCAGCTCCAGTCTTCTCCATTGCTGGATGATTGTTGAGTCGGCACGATGCTC